GTATCCACGAACTCTCCACAGTCCTGATCTCCTCCTGAAATGACGATGAAACAGAACAATCATGCCGATCACGTAGTCCCAGCCATAGAACACGTGGCAGCAGCCACGTCAGCCAATGATACACGTGGCAGCAGCCACATTAGCGACAGCGCATGGCAGCTGCCACGTCAGCATGCCAAGAAGACAGGAGCAAGCCAGCCACCATGCCGGATCAGCAGCGCCTCGCCGAATCACAATGCCAGCGTCGCAGCATCGAGCCAGCGTTGAAGTCAACGAGTGAAGTCAGCTCAACGCAAGACAGAATGAATGTCAAAGCCAGGAAGTCAGCGCTTATATAGTGTTGATGCGGGGTCTGGACCCCGGATGCTGCATCCCTCAGCCGTCCAGATCTCGATGCAAACGAGGGTCCAGATCGATCTGAAACCGAATTCCCTCCGGCCTGAATGCTGTCTGGGTACCTGCGCACAACAAGTGAGTGTATACAACCAAGGGCCTGGGCGTGGTACCTTTGACTCTACAGTTGACTTTGACCTTCGAATTTCCGGCAGACTCAGGCCTGGGCGGCGTCTTGGTCACACAGCCCAGTGCAGACCAGCCCAGGTCTGCGTTGCCTGGGGCAAAGTTCTGGGCCCCAGGCTGCCTCTGAACAGGGTTACTGCAATAACGCCCAGGCATTATCTCTGGGTGAAGACAGTAGCAAACAATAAGAGCTCTGACCTGCTTTTTCACGACTTTTCATGGCTCAAAAACAGCTTTGGAGCAGGACTAATTGAAGGATGGAGAACTGAAAAAGACTGATCAATGGTCTGGAGCTGAGCTGTGAGTGCAAGCATACCTGCAAGGAAGATGAAACGAATGAGACAGGGAAATGGCCTGCTGTCAGCACAACCGTTAGGAAAAAGCATAAAGACTGAAAAATTCTTCATGCAGACTTGGGCTTCAGCATGCAGCCACGTAGACCTTTTCAGGAATTGCAACAGGGCTACCATCAGGTCCAAGAGAGTGTACACGGACGATCAGGATTTTTATTTTTCTCTCTCTCACTTTGAAGCTCCTGCAGCATTCTTTTACTGTGCTGTGATTCCGACACTGGGCTTTAGTCATATTCTTTGCTCACAAATTCTGGTCAGGAACACAAGCCAGCATTATCTCATTCCTGAATGTCAAACAAGATTAGTTCTGTTCAACTGAGAGCGAATCCAGGGAAAACTGATTTAACATGAGGTTGAAAACCTGTTAATCTTAATAACAGTTGCTATGAAGTAATCATGGTCCCCCGCCCATAATGGAGGGAAGTGTGGCTTGTATTCTCTGATGTAAGGGACACTGGACTTGGTTTCCAGTAGATAATACAAAATTTGAAAGGATGTCACTGCTGCAGTCCTGGTCCCCGTCCCAGTTCCAGTCCCAGTTCCAGTCCCAGTTCCCAGTGCTATCGTCAGCCCCAGTCGCATGTACCATATTCACGAATCTCCAGGTAATTTAGTGTTAGTAGGCCACAGCTGATGAAAGGATGTGGGTAGCAGCTAAATGTCTCGTTGGGTAGGCACCCAGAAACAAACGAACAGACTGAATACATGAAAAAGCCACTGCAACAGACTTTGTGCATGCATATTAGATCCGACCAGATTGATTGGGATACTAAGTTGCCCAGTGTAGGAAATGCTTATAACAACTCAATGCATCTTTCCACAGCTAGAATGCCTTTAGAACTTCGCAAAGGGTGGAGACCACGCAGACCACAAACAGCCTGAATCCAGATCAGATACAAAGACTGCCACCCGCTTCCCAAGAATTTGCACTTATGTATCAGAAACATATCAAGGAAATTACAACAATAATTAAGCATACCCAGCATAAGATAATATTAAGAGGATAACAAGCATTGCAGACCATCACAGTTTGCTGTAGCTGATTTAGTCTGGGCAAAGTCGAAAGAGTGATTACCTGAAGAAGATCTCTCTTAAAAGCTGCTACCTACATACCGAGGACTATGGGAAGTGTTGGATGCAGTAGGTGGAGATGATGGGCCATTGTATGTCATAGATGTCCCCAGACACCTGAGAACCTACCCTGTGGTTCATGCATCCAAATTGCTGCCTCGCATATGAGATGATGAGTCCCCCCCACACAGACACATGATTCTCCCTGAAATGGAAGGTAGCTATTGTTGGCGAAGCACCCCTCCGAACAGGAAGAAGGGGAAGACCGCAGAATCACAGATGCAATACAAATGCAGGTATTAGTACCAACGCCCAAAAGAGGATAGACGGTTCCCACGAGATGAACTTGCTGCGACTGCTCCTAGAATAGTGTCACACTATGAGCAGACTCGCAGAAGTGCTAGACCAGCCAAGAAAGTTGTAGCCGTTCTCGGAGGACCTCGAAACTAGGTCGGAGGGAGTGAAAGGATTTCACCACTTCAGTCCTGGTCCCAGTCTCAGTTCCAGTCCCAATTCCCAGTCCCATCATCAGTCCCAGTCCTGTGTATTCATGGATTCGAAGGTAGGCTAATGTTAGTAGGCCGTGATAGGAAGATTCCAGTAGGTGCCAGAGGTAGGAAAAGTCTGTAGAGGTCAGTAGGCCCTTATTGTTGGTCGAGACGATTCAGCAGCGCAGTCCCAGGAAAGCCTGCAAACTGCTGGACGTGACAAACATCAACAGTGTATCGGACCCATAACTGATAGAGGAAGTCCAGAAGGTGAATTGTCACGTAAAAAAAGTCCATTTGTTGAAGTCATCAGCACAAATTCACTCACACATGCGGAAGCGCTGCTGCGCTATTTTGGGATACTGTGAAGTGCACTGTCACTTTGCTGGTTATAGGTAAGCGACGGTGCTGGGTGCCATGGCTAGATTGAGCACGAGACAGAGATATATCAAGAGAGAGAGAGAGGTGTTCAGAGAGACGAGACCTTGAAGTGAGTGAGAGAAGTGAGGTTGAGGGAGAGAGCGATCATACCTGAGAGAGCTCCTGGCACCCATTGTGACGGGGCTGAGTCAGAGCAGAGAGGCTGGGAGAGAGAGGGAGAGTGAGAGCACACACACACGCTCACTCAACTCGACGCAGACTCGACATGACTCGGCAGACGCAGCCACAAAGTGGCAAAGTTGCAAAGTCGCAATCTTGGATTCCGAACACAATGTCGCAGCAAGTCACACTGAAGCACAAGCACTGAGGCCGAAAACTGAATGCCCGAACTCAGCTTGAGTCCGGTCTCAAGTACCGGGCTCAAGTTGAGTCCCGAGGGCAGAAGTGCAATTTGCCTCGGGGCTGAACTTAAAATCGAAGGTCTAAGCCTGGGTGCCAGAATGCCGGATGGCGCCAAGTATTGAAATCCGAAAGTGCCAGAGGAGGGATTTGAGAACGGGCGCCAACTGCAGAGGGCGCCAACAGTCAGGAACCGGAGATCAGAAACTCAAAAAAATAGCAGCCTGGCGGGTGGTAACCTGCGGACCAGGGATCGAGCCCTGGCTGGGTCCGTAACACTATCCCCTCCCTCTGGAATGCAACGTCCCGGCTGCCAAAGACCCAATGAACAACTGTGAAGGACGGGACGGGGCCGATCACTGGTCAGAAAAGGAAAAGGAGAGGAATGCAAGTAGCAGGGTAATCCTATTGAGGTTCCAAAGGGATGAGGGAATCAATGCTCAAGTAACAGGGTAATCATATTGAGGTTCTACAAGGGTGAGGGTAGCAATGTTCAGGTAACAGGATAATCCTATTGAGGTTCTACAAGTAACAGGGCAGTTCTATTGGTGTTCTACAAGGTTATAGGTTGTCAGGTTTGAGAAAAATAAAAATAAATAAATAAAAATTGTTTGTTCAATGCTCAAGTGCTGGGGTGTCTGAGGGGTCCGGGAAAACAACATCTCAGGTCTGTAACAAAGTGTCAAAAGCGAAAAAATGTCTTTGAGGGAGGTCTTGGAGGGTGTCGCAGAAGTGGCAGTGAGGAAGCAGTCTTCAGCAGTTCTGTGATGTAGACGGCGAGGGCTTCAGCTTGATTGTCCCAGTGGCAGGTTGCATCCGGTACACGATCTGATGATGAGGTCTGATCCGGATAGCAGGTCGCAGACTGATCTTGATGTCCATGTCAAAGATGCTGCTCCAGAAGCCTGCGAGTCCAAGGTGCCGGCCAAAGGGAACAGCATGGTGGCCAACCAGCTGTCTTATCTCCTCGTACTGAGCTGCAGCAATGAGCTGCAGCATGCCATTATCTCCTGAGCTGCAGCATGCCATTGTCCTCGTGCACTTGCCATTAGATCCTTTATCGCCGGCGACGCGCAGGGGCCACAAGTAGGACTTGGGCGAGAGATACAGATGTGGCAGAGGACAGATGGGAGAACGAGACGAGATGGAGGCAAGAGCGGATCAGACAGAGGGAGCTCAAGGGGCAAGGGTTTTGCTCGGTCCAGGGGATGTGTGTAGCGCAGGGAGGCAGGGTTGAGGCAGGGTTTAGGTGGGGTTTAGGTGAAGTTTAGGCGGGGTTTAGCCAAAGTGGGTAGCTAGGATATAGGACGGGCGCGATCATAGGCGCAAACAAGTTTCATGGTGTTCTTAAGGTTGGCAAGAGGTTCCCATGTGGATTCTTCGTCAGGGTATCCTGTCCATTTAACTTTGTATTCTGTGATTGGTTCAGGGTGGTCAGATACCTGAGTAGTTCTTCGTCCTATGATGGCTTCGACGATGAATTCAGGGCCTGTGGGTAACATGATTGGTGGCGGTCGAGGATATGGGCGGTCAGCGAATTGGGGTGGGGATTCATGGTATTYTTTTAGGTATTCTACGTGGAAGACAGGGTGGACACGACTCATGTCAGGAGGGAGTTGGAGCTTGTAATTGACGGGGGAGGTTTGCTCAATGATGGGGAAGGGTCCGGGCCACTTGTTCGAGAGTTTCTTGGTCAAGCCGTGTTCGGGTTCAAAGCGTTTGGCGGAAGTAGTGGAAGAGCAGGGTACAGGGCGTGTGGTGCGCGAGTGATCTGGGTATAGGTGGGATGGGTGGACGTGATAGTGGATGAAGTCAAGAGAGGTTTTGACTTGGGGGTGAATGGTCGACGACTGTGTGACGGCGGGGGTTGTCGTCTTGGGTGGTGGGGTGACCATGGTGGAGGTGGTGGTGGATGAAGACGGGGGTGTGGATGATGTGCCAGCGGAGAGGGCGGTGGATGTGGAGGCGGAGGATGGAGGAAGGGTGGTGGCACCAGAGGTGGGGGGGGGGGGACGTGGTGCTGACGATCTGGATGGCGGGGGTTTGATTTTTGGTGGTGGTCACACGAGCGGAGATGGTGGAGACGGTTGTTTTGATGTCGTCGATGGATGAGTGGATGGATGTCCCCATGCGGAGGAGTGTTGCGAGATCGGTGGCGGCATTGGGTGCTGGTGTTTGCTCGCCTGCGAGGTTGCAGCGATGCTGTCGACAGAGTCGGTGTGGATGCCGGATATATCAATGCTGGATGATTGGGCCATGGTGGGGGAGGAAGTGGTGGTAGCGGCGGATGAGGTGTTAGCAGCAGATGAGGTGGAAGCGGCGGCAGCAGCGGCGGCTGCGCGTTGAGAG